ATGGGTGCATCTGTGACCAGAGCACCCAAGCAGTGGCTCGTTCTACGCCGACTTCAGGACAAAATAGATCCGTGGCTCGTGCGTTGTGGAATACGCATGACCCGGGGTTGGTCTTGGTCGCTTGCGTCGAGCGCCTATGCGCTGAATTTTGCAGTTGAGGAAGAGTCCGAAATCAGCTGCCAGGAGTTGATGCTTTTGATGCCATGAGGTGATTATAGGGGTCCTTAAACAGGAACTCTTCAGGGGTAACTCTTTCGATTGCCTCTGCTCAACCGACCGGAAATGGGCTCCATCGACCGCCTTGGGGTGGCATGTAGCAAAAAGATGCTGTGCAGAGGGGCAAGCACCTCCATTGGCGAAACCTCAGATTCCACGATCTTCTGATCCTGTCCTTTTTTGTTGAAACAGCCACCCTCTTGCTTTTGAGGTGGTTTTACGTTTGGTCAATGCCAACATCCCAATTTCGGTCCACCAGCTTGGGAATTGATCATGGCCTCTTCAGACTTTGGAACATCACACGTTTTTTCCTGCAAATGGCCTTTTTTTTGCTCAAGTTTGGGTGCTCCCTAAAATGGTGTGTTGCTTCCTTCTGCAAGCTGACCAGACCATTTATGTTGACTTCTGATGCTGAAACTTTGACCGCTTTCACAGAGATTTTTGCCAATCAAAAGCTCGCATTTTTTTGGCAAACAACTCCAAGAAATGGGATCTTCATCAGATAATTCCATGGCAAATCAATTGCAACTTTACAGTATTCCAGAGATATCCCTCAAAGATCAATAGTGCCCTTCCAATATTTTGCAACCACCTTGAAGATATTTTGCTTCGAAAGACACAGCGTGGAGGCCCACGAAGACCGTGCTGTTGAACATCGGCATCAGCACCAAAGCCCCCAAGGCGAAGGTGCAGAGTCTTCAGGAGCCCCAGATGTACTAATAACATGACATAATAATACCCAATACAATATGATGTGATACAGGTAAATACAGTACAATATATCATCATGCCATATATATATAAATATGTATGTATGTATGTATGTATGTATGTAATGTATGTAATGTATGTAATGTATGTAATGTATGTAATGTATGTAATGTATGTAGTGTATGTAATGTATGTAATGTATGTAATGTATGTAATGTATGTAATGTATGTAATGTATGTATGCAATGTAATGTATGTAATGTATGTAATGTATGTAATGTATGTAATGTATGTAATGTATGTAATGTATGTAATGTATGTAATGTAAGTAATGTATGTAATGTATGTAATGTATGTAATGTATGTAATGTATGTAATGTATGTAATGTATGTAATGTATGTAATGTATGTAATGTATGTAATGTATGTAATGTATGGTATGGTATGGTATGGTATGGGATTGGATGGGATGGGATGGGATGGGATGGTATGTATGTACGTATGTACGTATGTACGTATGTACGTATGTACGTATGTACGCATGTACACATGTACGCATGTACGCATGTACGCATGTACGCATGTACGCATGTATGCATGTATGCATGTATGCATGTATGCATGTATGCATGTATGCATGTATGCATGTATGCATGTATGCATGTATGCATGTATGCATGTATGTATGTATGTATGTGTATGTATATTTATATTTATATTTGTAAATATCATGCAAAATATACTACGGTATATCGATACAACAGAACATAACAACATATGAGAGAATATGCAATGGTATAATATCACACGGTATGACATGTTACAATAATGTACAACCTAGGAAAATGCAGATATATCCCACTAGCAAGTTGTTCCCCACCTGCCAGGTGAGGGTTGTTAGATTTTATCTAAGTTGCCTGGTCCTCCTCCTCCTCCTCCTGCCGCCTCCTCCTCCTCCGCCTCCTCCTCCTCCTCTCGTTGTCCTCCTCGTCCTCCTGCTCAACTGCGACTCGCGATCCACAGTGTTCGCTACCTCAACCACGACCATCCACGCCCAGTGTTCCCTGCCGGACCTCAACCACGACCATCCACGCCCAGTGTTCCCTGCCGGACCTCAACCACGACCATCCACGCCCAATGTTCCCTGCCGGACCTCAACCACGACCACCCTCGCCCAGTGTTCCCTGCCGGACCTCAACCACGACCATCCACGCCCAGTGTTCCCTGCCGGACCTCAACCGCGAGTATCCCCGCCCAGTGTTCCCTGCCGGACTTCAACCACGACCATCCACGCCCAGTGTTCCCTGCCGGACCGCAACCGCGAGTATCCACGCCAAAAGATATGCCACATAGAGTGCCAGAAGATATGCCAGATAGAATGTTAGAAGATATGCCAGATAGAATGCCAGAAGGTATGCCAGATAGAATGCCAGATAGAATGTCAGCTAGAATGCCAGAAGATATGCCAGATAAGTGCCAGAATGTTTGCCAGATAGAATGCCAGCAGATTTGCCAGATAATATGCCAGAAGATATGCTAGATAGAATGCCAGATGGAATGCCAGAAGATTTGCCAGATAATATGCCAGAAGATATGCCAGATAGAATGCCAGATGGAATGCCAGAAGATATGCCAGAACATATGCCAGAAGATATGCCAGAAAATATGCCAGAACATCTGCCAGAAGATATGCCAGAACATCTGCCAGAAGATATGCCAGGTAGAATGCCAGAAGATATGCCAGATAGAATGCCAGATCGAATGCCAGAAAATATGTCAGATAGAATGCCAGAAGATTTGCCAGTAACAAAATGTATAAATGTCATGGTGGGGATCACACGAAGTAAAGTAATTTGCGCATTTTTTGTAGAATTCTTCGGGTATCTGTGGATAGAACGGTGCGTACTGCCAATACTTTTTTGGATGACCAAAATTGAGATGTTCACATCACAAGACTGCGCCCGGTTCAGTTCGTTCCGAGATGCGCAAACCAGATTGTCAGGCTGAAATGATCAATTCCGACATGTGTTGGGGCAGAAGTAAAGGCACCCCAAAGGTCAATAGCTCTTCTCAGCCCGAATTTACATAGTTTTTGGTGAAATGCCATTTTTGGGACATAGGCAGCAGGATGCCATCAAGTTCTTGCAATCAATTGATCCGCATTTTTGTGACCAAAAGAGAAAGCGTTGGCCGCCGGTGTCGACAGGGTTTTTTCCACATGGGACAGTGGAATTCTGTGGATCTCTTTTTTTTTGGGGGGAGAGCTGCCAGGAGTTTGGCAAGAAGTGGATCAAAGGATCTCCGGACATCCAACAGAACAACTATCAGATTCTCAGCTGCTGATGGGCGACTTCCTGACCTGGTCTGCCTTAGAAACCAGCAGAAAATTTCACAGAATCATATGCTCACGCACACAGCTGTGGTACAAGATTCAAGGATCCAAGCCATCGTGAGGCTAAACAGATCAGCTCATGTTCCTTTTATTGACTCAGACGTTTGTTTTTCTTGCCTTCCAAAGACGAGGAAAAACACCCAAAACCGTTTCGTGGTCCCGGACGGCTGTTTTCTCCAACGTTTTGGCACACAACTGACCATGGCGGCCTAGGAAATGTCACATTACCAGCACAAGTGACTTGGCAAGACTCCGAATTTTTCCCGCGGCTTTCCACCTGTTTGTCAGTGCAAACTTCTAGCATGTTGGGAGTTTCCGCTCGATGAAACCGCAACCGTTTCAACACACCAACGGACACAGACAATGGACGCATCGTGGCCGGTGAAGGCAATGGCTACAACCTAGAGATCATCTTTTTTCCCATGGTGGGCGTCTCCCACAGGCAGAGTTCCTCCAACCGGGCCCGGTTTCACCTGAAAGAAATTGTTTGTTGAAGGGCTTCAAAGGGCGGTCAGCAAACATGGTTAGTTCGTTCTGGATTTCACAAACCAGTCAGATGAGGATGGCTCAAAAGCCTTTCCCAAATTGGCATGGCAAATGCTTAAGTCAAATGGCAAAAATGGTAGAATTTGTTCCATTTCAACCACAGCTTTCAGCCATGCCATGCTAGGCAGATCCGACAGAAGTTTCTGATGAGTTTCATGTCGGCTGCCGAGCGCCTGAATGTACCTTTCGTTTCTTGGCCTTTTAAGAAGGGATCCAAGTGTGGAAGGGTGCATCCTTTGCCAAAAGATTTTCAGAGGATGTGCCTGGGGCCCTGGGACTCGACAAAGTGCACTTTCTCAAAGGAAACTTGCTGGTACTGTATGATCAAAGCTCTGACCCCCCTCCAGCCATAGGACGGACAGCCATGTGTCCGTGGCTCACAAGCCTGGTCAAAAACGAGCCCCTACTTTGGGCTCAATTCGTGACCGGTATGCATCTCCTTCAGATTCACCCTCCAAGCTTTCTAGAAACTCCCATGCCCCTTGAAACCAGGTTTGAAAGTTGATTCTTACCATTGAACAATGGCTATCTCGTGCCAGGTTCCTCTACAGCTAATGCAAAACTTCTGCGAGGATTGTGAGCTTGGAAACGTTGAGGCGAGTCCGGCTTGTCCAAAAATGAGATCCCCAGAATTTTCAGACATCCCATATTTCTACTTGGATGCGCATCCCAGTTCCTATGTGGAAAACAAGCATAGTCGAGTAAAACAAGTTCCTCCAGTTATGGATGGAATAGATTTGAATTAACTAGCAATGGGCCAATTTTTCAGATACCCTTCTGTTCAAATCAAAATAGCTGGCGCATGGATGTTGATCCCTCCAGTCATATGGTATATAAATGTTCGCCACTTGTGATTCCCTTGGCCCTGGGCAGCTCTGGCCTCAGCCGCTTCAGGCCATGTCGGTTGCCGCGCATGCTGCCAAGGAGGCGCGTGGCGGAGTCGGGGTAGGTTCAGATGCAGATTTTCATGGCTTGTTGAGTGTGATTTTTTTGTTTTAACATCTTCCTAAGTTCCTGGGGCTGCGTTTTCGGAATCCATGAGGGGACAAAACCATACAAACCTATGGTACGCCAGGGTACCAGGATCTGGATCGCCCCATAGCCATGTTGAAGCGATCAGGTAGCCTTAGATGAC